ACAGAAATATTACGCAAAAAGGGAATTTTATTCCGATCAACACAACAAGGCATTTAATTATAGTTTCTGGTTATAAATGCAAAATTTTCGGAAAATGTTTTCTCAATAAAATTGAATTGTTAATAAAAGCAAGTTTTTTTCTATTGTTCTAAAGTCTTGTTCAAATCCGTTCAAATTGCTTGAAAAGACGAACACAAGTTGCTATTTGAAAGAGTGGCCAAAATAAGTTGCATCCTGTTTAATGAAAATCATTAACCATGGACAAGAAAAGCACATAATGTGTCTGTTCAAATAGTGAAGAGCATGACGACTCTTAAATATTTAAGCAAGCTGAGTTTTTATTTATTTTCATTCAGAAAAATTCCATAGAAAAATATTGTCAAAATAAAAATATTCTTCAACTGGTAAAATCACCAATATTCATGTAATCTCTGTCTATCTCTGTGGCTTTCTCTTTCTCTCGCTATCTTTCTATCCATCTATCATTATATTACCGTGAAAATCAACATTCGAATACCTGGACTCGAGGACAGAACACGGCCAGTAATATTCATCGCTTTCTTTCTCTCTCGTTCTCATTTTATCCACATATATCGATGTTATCTTACATCTTTCTATCTATCTATCTATCTATCTATCTATCTATCTATCTATCTATCTATCTACTGCCTTGAAAATCGATATTCATATACCTAGACTCGAACATAACACGGCGGGAAATATGTATCTCCGTTTCTTTCCCTCTCTCTCTCTCTCTCTCTCTCTCTGTCTGTCTGTCTGTCTGTCTGTCTATCTATCTATCTATCTATTTGTCTTTGCATTTAATATCGGCATTCGAATACCTTGACGCGAGAACACGGTGGGAAACATGTACCTACCGAACTCGTTCTCTCTCTCTCTCTCTCTCTCTCTCTCTCTCTCTCTCTCTGCATATACCAAGTGTAAAAGCAAAACTGTTCAAATCGACTAACAGAAAAATTGTCCAAATGTTAGATTAAGGTTTGAAATGTTATATCCTAGAAATGATTAAAGATATCTTACTAGAATTCTCCGATGTTTTTAGAACACTATTGGAATCTACTTTGAACAATAAGAATTTCTTTAGCTCTAAGCTAAAATAATAATCCCTCTTCCTGTTGTAACCTCCTGCTTCAGTTTTCCTCTCTACTGTGTCTTATTTTTTAAACTTATTCACCATTCTCTTGATTGTTCTTGAATGAACTTTGAAGATGGAAGCCAGAGTATGAATATTGGTACCATTACTGGAGAACTGAATGATCTTTTTCCTCTCACCATTGCTCAGTTGGGAAGACAGTGGGTCTAACACAAAACGATTTTAACTTGTTCTCTTTCAAGCTGAATAACTCAAAGGTTTTTTCAGTGATTCGTACGAGAAATGGCGTCAAGATGGCTGAACGTCTTATCTGAAAACGTGGAAAAAAGAAAGTCAATTAGTTTAGTGTTTTTTAGATATCAAATATTTTTGTTTTTATATTTACAAACAATGGTGTTCAATATCCGGGATAACATAGCGTATCTGCATATAAACAATATGAAAATTTAAATAACAATGACATGGTAATTTGCAGTTTAAACCCTTATCTCTCTGTCTCTCCCTCTCTGTACACAGAAAGTGAGAGAGAGAGAGATGCATACATGTGAATAGTCTGAAATATATACAAAGTCCGATGCATAAATTGTCGTCTAGATTACACAAACAAAAAAAAATAAATTAACCTTAACATCTCATTTTAACAGATATATTTATCAAAATTACACAAACATATCTTGAAATAATAATGAGTAAATTTATTCATTAAAATCGCCATTGGCTTCAACCATGGCCTCAAGACTGCTTTGGAATCTCCTGCAACTCTTCTGGGTGGTCTCTTTGTTTAAGTTGGTGAACGCTGCCATAATCTTTGCCTTTCATCTTTGGTGTTACAGGGAGTTTTGTTGGTCTCTCGCTCAACAGCGCTCCACACATAACAATCAAGGGTCTGCAAACTGGGGCGTTGAGTGGTCAGATGTAAACGGTGATATGGTCGCAGAAACTATCACAATGTCGACTGGGTTCTCCTGCTTGTGTGGAATGGTGCAGAGTCCCGTTACAAGACATAAGATCTTCCACCAGCCACCCTCTTGAGCCAGGGCAGCACTACCTTCTTAAAGCACTTAATATAGGTTTCCGTCTTGAGTCGGAGATCCACAACCAAAAAAATTCGTGAGTTCTTTTCTTATCAGAACGATCCAGGTGATTTTTCCGAGCTGGCGTACTTCGTAATCACCTTTAGAATCATCCAACTCTTTCAGAATCCTCTGCACTGTCCTCATATTCACACCCAAATACTCTGAAATGTTAGTACTGGAGCTTCTGGTGCGAATGCCAAACAGTACAGCATGCCGTTTTCTTGCAGACACTGCCCTACTAACCCTACCATAATGTGCAGTCGACAAATTCAAAAACAAACAACACGCATGCGCGAAATTAAAATTATAACATGGCATCAATGTACGCATATACATATATGTGTGTGTACACACATATATATATGTACACACAGAGATAGATAGATAGATAGAAACAAATATAGCTAGGTATACGAGCGAGCGATTGTATACAAATACATATAAATACTCTATAGTGTAAGAAAAAACAGTTCTCAATGTTAAGTAGCATAACTATTTAATATATAAATATTAAGAAATATACATAATATCTTACATTAATTGCATAACTTTCAGTTTCATGCCGAAGCCATTTTCAAATGTTGGAATTATTATGTTTATTTTTATTTATATTTGCGGTTGACACAGTGAGGATGTAATAATAGTGAAATCTGTTCAGTGTACGATATTGTCTTTCATACATTATTTTAATAACATTATTATTATTGAAAAAAATTTTGTTGCAGACACAATGAAATAATGAATAGCGGCTCCGATTGAGGAATCGGAGAGCCGAGTTCGAAGTCCAGTCGAATTCATTGCATTCATTTACATGCTAATACCCTTGGAAAAGGTATGCGCAAATAGCAAGGCAGACTAAGTGCTATAGGAGAAGGAAGCTCAGAATTCAAATCATCTGTTTCCTTGAAGAAGGTAATTTCAAAAATAACTTCAACTCTGTAAGGAGGGACAGGGTAGCTGCGACCTCTTTCGTGAAACAGGCAAGTCATTGCACTATTCTACCTTGAATGTTACCATGAACCATAATTGTGAGATGCAGGAGAGGAGTGACAACAGCGGTGCAAAATGCGCTAACTGAATACATTAAGATGATGAAACTTTCATGAAAAATGTGAAAACGTTTCTGCTAAAAGTACATTTTTTTGAGATTTAAGAAAATTTATTAAATATAATCGGTAAAGAATCGGTAAGTTACTGTTGAAAGCATCTGTTGTTAAGTGAAAAGAATCTGGAATTGTCACTTTTGTATTTTTAATATCCCTCATTAAAATCACGATTGAATTGAAAAATAATTTTGTTCCTCAATACTTTTATGTTAATATAACATTGCTTAAAAAAAAAATGAAATTATTCTTTCTGATCAAACCTGTTCATCCTGTAATCAATGATTCATTTTCAAAAGCCCTTTAGCAGACAACTCGTTATGATCCCCAACAGACTGCAAGATCGAAAACTACAGAGAATTGGCCGATAATTGCATCACAACCTAGACAAAAAAAGGAAAGCAAAGCAATAAAAACGATGAAACCGTCTTCTTTTTTTTTCTTCTTTGAACAGCAAATGGCGCGCTAGTTACGTGTCTTAAATATATATGGTTCTAGCCAACCTTTCATCTGCTGCTTAAGAAAATCTTCACGCAGAGTGAACGGTTTGTGAGTGAACGGTCGACAAATAAATTAACCTTATGATTTTTTTTTACAGTTTCAAATCAAATGGCAGAGGCGTGCAAGGAATTCTTTTTAATACATCCGTGGCGAAAACAGAAAGAAAATAATATTGAATCTTGGAAAGACGTTAATACTTTAATCGTTTTAATTAAGATTCCATGTGAGAATATCTTCTAAGATATTGGACAAATTTGTGAATAACATGTTTAATATAGCAGGCATCTTATTTTAAAAATATATTGTATTTAGATTTTATGCAATGACATAATTGAGACAGTTACAATTTTTCGTAGCACGGAAAATAAAATGTAAAGTAAAGATGGTTCGAATTTGAATTATCGCTGCTTGTGTTTACTTAGCAAATATGCCTTTTTGAAAGGAATAAAACCGTCTCTCCCTTTGCTTTATATTTTAGGAGAATATCTTTCGAAAAAGGATTTATCACTAGGATCATATGATTGATGCGAAAGAAAATAGTTGGCTGTGTGTGCAAGTGATCATTTGGGCAAACCTCTCATAACTTTCATTTACCCAGGCAGTGCTAGTATTTAAACACTTTTTATATTGATTAATAGAGGTCAGACCCATTAATAAGCATGTGGTGCATATTATTCCACATAATATGCACATGAGTATCTTCAGCTTTGTTGTTCTAAGTTAGACGTTTCGAAAAATAGTTTTACGACCTTCTTCAGCTGTATGATGCAGTCCGCGCCTTTCGATGAGTTTTTTTATATTCTCGATGGGAACACCAGAATTGATTACTAGTTTCGTAATAACAGACGAATATTTATTTGAATCAACGGTGCCAATGTGGAATTGAATCATCCAATAACAAGGTTTGTTCAAATTAATGTTCTTCGATTTGGCTTATGTTAAATTATTGCACATTCGAATTCTATATTTAATTTCGTTTCTTCTATGGATAAAATACGTGGTCATCGCAAATTATGTATTTTGCGATTTTCTACTTATAAGAAACATACTATCTATCTATCTATCTATCTATCTATCTATCTATCCCAGTTTGCCCATATCTATCTATCTATCTATCTATCTATCTATCTATCTATCTATCTATCTATCTATCTATTCCTGTCTCTCCATATCTATCTATCTATCTATCTATCTTATGGCGCGTGACGAAACACCGGTTCTCGTATGATCACCGGAGTTAAGCAACGTCAAGTCTGGTCAGTACCTAGATAGGTGATCCCTTAGAAATACCATGTGTTGTAAGCTTGGATGCACTGGGGGGTGTAATAGATAACGACTTGGAATTGGAATTCGGAGAGCCGAGTTCGAATTCCAGTCAGATTTGTTATATTGACTTACGAGTAGATACCTATGCGAAGGATAATAATCCGCATCTACCCTTGGCTATGGGTTATTTAGTAGAACGTGTATCAGTAAATTATTATTATCTATAAAACATGCTTACAATTGAAAAATATTTTATGGCTTTAAATAACTTGTAAACGTTTGATAAGCGGAAAAATCAATCAATCAGTCAATATGGGCGCGTGACCGGGAATGATCAGAACGTTCGTTTTCGGAACAAGACTCAGGGGGTGGGGATCTCTCCATAGTCAATTTGTCATGACTTCTTGGTGTTAACTCTCTGGGGAGGCGGAACTGTTAACAAACCATGGATGGTTGTAGTAGCACGATGTCATAAGTCATTGTGGCAGAGTGTCTGTGCGTAACGATGTTAATTAAAGATATATATACAAGATACATGGATATACGTGTTTCATTAGTACATCTTTCTTTTTAAATAGTATGATTTTGGTCTACCGGCCTAGTATTTTCGACTCTATACTAAGGAGAAAATGACCTTCCGCAATCTTTGAAACTCCCCAACCCCACTATTGTAGGGAAAATCCACTATATATATATATATATATATATATATATGGATCCATGGTGGAATAGTGGATAGCGGCTCGGATTGAGGAATCGACTTCAAGTCAAATCCATTACATTCACTTACGTCCTAATATCCTTGGGAAAGGTATTAATCCTCTTCTTCTCCCTCCAGCCATGGGTAAATAGCAGGACAGACGGGGTTCTATAGCCTTGGATGGCAATTGGTCTAGGAGAAGGATAACTCTGAATTCAAAATATGTGGAGGGTCATTTGGGAACCTTGTGGTACGTAGTGAACCAGGTCTCTGTATTCGGGCCTTCAAAAAGTGTGGATGGTTCTGCACAAAGCCTTCATCACTCTAGTCAAATCATATGTTCTGATGTCGGGCTGTCGGTTCCTTGGAACTGAGTTGCTTGACCCTCATCCGTCGAATACAACGGAAGAGTCCAATATATATATATATATATATATATATATATATATAATTTTCGAGTAAATTATAACATAAATATGTTATAAAATGACTGCAAAAATAGCCATTTTGTTTAAACGCTTCGACCAAACATCTCTCGACAATGTTTCCTCTACCGAGGAATGTTTGATCGATTTGAACCTTTTAAAACTCTTTATTCTACATTCAACATCATCACTTGATAAGACACCAGAAGTGTTAAAACAAAATGGCTATTTTTATTTTATAATTTTCTAATAAATTATATTTGCTCTACTCTGTATGGAGCACTCTTTTAAAATAGTATTTTTGGGTTATTGGAATTTATTCTGTATGCACCAATCCTATACGTGAGTATATATATATATATATATATATATATATATATATATATATATATATATATCACAGAGAAAGTCAGAAAAATAGAGACAGAGTTCAAGTGATGAGTTTGAGATATGTACACGTACACCTTTGTAAAAACATAAGGCAAGATTTTTTTCATAATTTTTTTGCAATTACTACTTCTATAGGAAAATCGATGTGAAATATGCAACAATGTTATATATCAATGCAAAGTACATAATTACTTCGGATTTTCTTTAAAAAAAAAATGAACTGTTCGTTCAATCTGCTTACCCGACCTTGCCAGTTGTTTCGATCTTAGTGTCGTTTCATTCATCTCTGATTGTCAGTTTTCTCATATTCTTTTGTAAACCTCTTGGCCTTAATATGCGCAATATGGGTTTATAGTCTGAATTGTGATCAGGCATTTATACACGGGCGAAAATTACCGCTCAAACTCTGATTTCGTTTTTCATGGAGAATTTAATAATCACAGAAAACATTGGATACAAGAACATTCTTGAAGAACAATTAACCTACTTAACGATTCCCTTTTAATGGATGGCAAAACGGGAGTGAAAAAAAGAAATTGCGGAGAGCCATAATCGCTCAAGTCCTGAAGGGACATGGAACATAAAATCAAAGCAACATCTTTTAGAAGGCACTGTATCTTGCTCCTTATTTTAACATGCAATTTGTCAAAGCTTGGAAGAAAGCCTCTTTGAAATATGTTTTCTTACTCTTTTGTATTGTAGCGGCTAACCCAGGCTCAATAGAAAACACATCTTCCTATAAGCCGATCTCGTCCAGGCAGGTATTTGGGATTGAATATTTCAGTTGAACTTTTGAGTTAGGGCTCTAAGGCATCGGTAAACAGATCAAAGCACTCACTTAAACCAGTGAATATCACTGTTCGATCAAAAAGTGATGAATATCTGATTCGGTTTCATACGTTCTTTGTGGAAGCAATACTTTCTTTGAAAACTGCTTTGATCTCCAACTACATTCGGTCTTCTTGAAAGTGTTATTGAAACAAAACTTATTCTTTAATTGCTTTTACCAACTTTATTATAATTTTTACGGAGTTTCAATGCAGTCATTTTCAGCTTTCTCCCAAGTTGTCTTCTACATTTCATACCACAGAACAAGTCACTCGCAATAAGCGATTAATTATCGGAAATATAGACGTTGGAATCTTGATATCCTAGGACTTTACAAATTTATGAATATCTTTTTTGTTTGACGATCAATTGGCAATGCAGCTTTTTATTTGAATTTTATTTAAATGTTGATGCGAATAAAACTGTCTTATTTTTACCTCCCCCCCCCGTACTAGTACAAACAATGACCAGTAATTTCAAATTTATTTATACGCACAAATTTGGTAGGTTTCTTGTATTTTATTATCACTCGTTTTAACTCTACTGAATAAAACAAAATAAAAAAAATGAATTTACAAATTATGATGGCATGTTATTACCTCAATTTGTGCTCAAGAGTGCAGAAAGAAAGTAAAAGAAAGAGGGAAAGAAGAAAAAAGAAATATTAAGAAAGAAAGAAAGAAGAAAAGAAAGAAAGAAGAATTATTAAGAAAGAAAAAACAAATATTGAGAAAGGAAGAAAGACAGAAAGTAATACAGAATAAATATTAAGAAAGAAAGAAAAAAAAAGAAAGAACGGTGAATTTTTAAGAAAGTCCGTGAGAAAGAAAGAAATCGAAACATAGAAATAACATTAAGAAAGAAAGAAAAAAGAATATTAAAAAAATGAACAAAGAAAAAAAGGGAAATATTAAGAAAAAGAGAGAAAAAAGAAAGAATCGTGAAATATTAAGAAAAAAGAAACAAACAAAAAAAGAAGAAAAAGATGAAATATTAACAAAGAAAGGAACGAACAAAAGAAGGAACGAACGAAAGAAAACAAATAGAAAGAAAGAAAGAAAGAAAGAAAGAAAGAAAGAAAGAAAGAAAGAAAGAAATCAGAAATATTAAAAAAGAAAGAAAGAAAGAAAGAAAGGGAAATATTAAGAAAAATGAAACACGTGAACATATTAAGTAAGAAAGAACCGACAGAAAGACAGAAAGAACGGGATATATTAAAGAAAGAAAGAAGAAAGAAAGAAAGCAAGAAAGAAAGAAAGGAAGAAAGAAAGAAAAAAAGAAAGAAAGAATGAAAGAAAGAAAGAAATACTTATGATAATTTTTATCTATAAAAGGCAGGATGTGTGTGTGTGTGTGTGTGTGTGTGTGTGTGTGTGTGTGTGTGTGTGTGTGTAACGAATGCACAGCCGCAATTTTCGACGCATTTCAACCAAAATTTACATGCACATGCTCCAAGTTAGTGGAAAAGCTAAGACCGACTTTGCATTTCCCAACTCCCATCGATAGTGGAAATGATCGATTTTTTCACGCTTCTACGGCAGTCTTCATGTAGTTTGCGGCCATTTTATACTGGCCAGAGTGACAGCCTATAGCTGGCAGCCACGAATGCTAGCAATTCAAAAAAAAAAGCTGCATTCGTCACAAGTGGGAAAAATTTAAATCTGCATGGCACATTACTCGAATTGGTTCATTCGCTTGCTTAAACTCAATGTTGATTCTGATTCCACAGAACTGGGTTGGGTGTGAAAAAGTAATTGTTGTTAACATTCTTTTTTCATTCGGTTTTTCCAGTTACGAGTCCTTTTTTAAAGCTGATCGTTTTGTGTTCATTTTGTTTAGTTCTTTTTTCGTAACAGATTTAATGTTTAGTATAGAGCTTAGAAAAAATTCGCAGTGTGAGGCAAGAAGTAAGGCATGTAACAACATCAGCCCGGAAAAGGTCACTCCTTTAAAGGCAAGGAAGGGCAAAAATATTTTAAATCAAGTGATATCGATTGCTGTATTAGTCGTACGATTTTTCAAGCAAGCACGGGTAACGCCGGGCCATGCTGCTAGTATTTAATAAAAAAAATCATCATTTCCTCACAATTTGCGTATGATAATGGTAATGCTAATGAAAATATTAGCTGTTTCCTTATAAGAAAACATTCAGTATTCATTAGCCGAATAACCAGTGCTACCGTCGGTTGAAATTGATAAAATCTGTTATCGCTCTTTGCAGTATTGATGGTGGTTTTCTTCCTAAGCTTTTGTTTGAAATATTTAATACGAACAATGGAAATAACGAATAATAATGATAATGAGATATATTTTAAAACTTCTGAATCCATTGTATGTTGCTTTAACTTTAAATTGATTGTCTAAGTTCTCTTTAGGAAATCTCAGTATCCAACAGAGGCCACAAATTTTACAATTCCATCTAGATGATTAGAAAAAGAAATAAGGCTGAGCTAAGTTGCGGACTGATACAGCAATGAGACCTGTTTGAAATTGACCTTTCCTTATCTGGAAATGTGAGTAATCTGTTAAGCCAATAAACTGATGTCGCCCTAAGGCTGGGCAAATTGTGCAACTAAAATTACATTTTCATCGCTATTTCATTGGTGGACGCCCAAATTAGAGTCCGTGTGAGATAAAAAAAAGAGTTCTTGTAGTCTTAAGCCGATAACAAATCAATCATTTATTGATTAATGC